ATTATAAGGTGAGACTGTTATGTGGTGCTACAGGTTCTGTTTTGTCTGTTCCAACTTATTAAATTTCAGAAAAACTAAATATTGTGATGCATATCCCTAGTTTGTTCTAAGATTTCCTAAGGTATTTTGCCTGAATACTGGTTGCTATAGTATACTGTAGTTTTAAAATATTAATCATTGTCCCCCTTTTTTTAATTTTGAGACTCTGCAGAGCCTTGAATATGAACCAGTACAGGCCTTTTAGCAGGTAAAACACAAATGATGGCCAGTCAGCATTTTTAGAATGGTCTCTGTTTATAAATATTGATGATGAGGGGGTCTACAAAAGAGGTCTGCCAGATTGATCTTTTCACTTTGGTTGGATGAACAACAGATTTTTAGAAATAAGGGAAAGTGTCATAAGGAGTGTCATTTTGAGCTGTATTGTGTTTGCATAGTTGTTGACCTGAATCATTCTGTGCTTTGGTCTCAGCATGTCTGACCTCACAATTTATACTGTTCTATTACTTTGTCATCTTTATGCTCCACTTAGATTTGGCCTTTTCAATAAAACTTCAAAGTGCCTTTGGGACTTGCTAGAAATGGTTAAGGAGAAATTAGAGCTACTAGTCTAGGAACTCATGCAGGAGGCTGCCAAGCTCAACCACCAGAGTTCCAGTGGGGGGGTTGAGTCCTGGACTTGAACCCCTCTGCCACCTGTAAGTTTTTGGCCTGTTTCAGCCCCATTTATTTAGATCCCAAATCAGGTGGAATCTGGTGGTTCTACAATGATTTCCACTGACTCAACATAGTGTCTGCCTTTGACTCAAACTTCTGCCTAGCGAGGATGACTTTGAAGACTGACTGAAAAAGTTTGTTTCATCTCAACACTGGACGTGACTAAAGGCTGAGGTGTTTCTAAAGCCTGAGGCAAAAAAAATAATAATTTTTCCATTTGGGCTCACATTCCAGTGGTTGATGGTCTTGTGGCCATCTACCTGGATGATGTCATCATTCACCAATTCTGTTTAGAGCATTTCCCTCATCTTAAAAAGCTTTTTATGTAACAGCTGAGCTCACGACCAACCTCAGTTAATGTCATGTTTGTTTTCTTTGAAGCACAATATCTACCCAAAACTGCAACCAAAGACACCAGGATTTCAGTGAGTTGTTCACAGAGAGACCAGAGCTACAAACACAAGACTGAGTGCTCTTTTGTCACAAGACTTCAAATTGGAGGAAAATCTGGAATGGACTGACGAGCTGTCAAGGGTGTTTTCTGCCTTCCACTCAATGGTCTCCAGCACACCTGTTAGAAAAGAGGCTGAAGTGAGCACATCAAGCCCAGTACTATAGAGAAGCTGTCCAGACTGCCTGAAAAATGAGAATTTTAAATTTAATTTTAATTACTTTAATTAATTTAATTACTTAAAATGACCCATTATTCCTCCGAGCGTGTTCAGCTGTCCAATGACGTTGCGTGAGCGGCAGTTCGAAAAGATGTGGTGGCTGGTTTCACAGGTCTCAGAGGAAGCCTGTGTTAGCCTTCACCCTCCTACCATTGATAGTATCATGTGACTGGGGGAGTCCTAACTAGCGGGTGGAATTGGAGACGACTAAATTGCGGAGAAAATTGGGCAAAAATAAAAAAAAATATATATATATATATATATATATGACCCATTATTCTACCAGTGACTCTCCAGTAATACAGTGGAAACAAACATTATAGTTATAATGAGCAAACATTACAGTCAGAAAAATACACTTTATAATTTTTTTGGATGTTATTGTCACAGTGTTTTTATCCTTATATGTGTTTTTATGGTGACAAATGAACTCATTGGCTGAGATGTTGTATTGTGGCTCAATCACTAATCCAGTGGCACTGAGGAAATAAACCAACAAAGGCACCATTTTAGTTGAAAAAACATGCAGTTTTTAGAATACCTTTTTGTAGTCTTGGGAGAAAGGAGTCTTTCTAAATCTTTGAACCTGTTGAACTGATCACTTTAAGAAAGGGTTCACCGCTTCAACACTCTTAAAATAGATGTATATTCTCCATATTTTCTTCAAATGTGTGTAAATGCATTGTGAAAACCCAGAGTAAAAGCACATAAAACCCAACAATAGGGAAGTACACCTTTATATATTTACATTTAAGGATAATCTGTAATATCCTGAAATAAATCAACCTACATTTGTATAGAATGGTGGTCTTCCACATACAAAGATGAAACTGGTGAACTGGTAAATGTTTCTGCCTAAAACAGTAGTGTGGCGATAGCAGTAGTATAGCTAGCAGGCTAACAGCTTCACACACTGCAGCACAGATTTGATTCCTTCTAACTGATGCTCCAATGATATAAGTTTAGCTGATAAAGACTCTTTATTTGTATTTGTAAGTTAAAACACCATGAGCATTAAATATGTAAATTAATCACATAAATGATTCGTTTCCGTGTCTGAATGGAGGAAAACAGTGTACAAGTGCAAAACACAGGATAACTATGTTAAATAATTGTAGTCTTCTTTTTCTATTGCATGTAAAGTTACAGCACTACAGCATCTAAATGAACACTCCCCTCATGGTGCTTTGAACACACTGAAAAAACTGTGATACCTTTTATTTAATGTGACAGATAATACAGTAACACCAAGGACATACATAAGACCATAAATCCTTATCCCTCAACTCTGATTAACAATGATAAAAGTGCTATTTCATGCAAAAGAATTCAATGAACAACTATATAAATAAAGTTTATGCGTACATAGGAGTCATTGGTGTTACTGATCTTCACTGGTGTTACCTATAAGAAAGGTATCGCCAGAGACATTTTCATGAAAAATGCATTTTACAAAATGGCCACTACAGGACATCAAACTACATGTTGTCACCCACTAAATGATGTCATTTAATCCATTTATAGTTTTTTTTTATTTTATTATTTATACTTCGTTGCAGTTTCAATGGTAGAAAAACATATTTTTGACCTCAAAATACAACCCCATTTCCAGAGAAGTTTGGATACTGTGAAAAATGTAAATGAAAACAAAATTCATTGATGTGCAAATCATTTAAACCCTATATTTCATTGAAAATAGTACAAACACAACATATCAAATGTTGAAACTGAGAAATTTTGTTGTTTTTTGAAAAATATATGCCCATTTTGAATTTCATGCCAACAGCACATTCCAAAAAAGTTGGGACGGGGGGCAACAAAAGGCTAGTAAAGTTGTGTAATGCTAAACAAATACCTGGTGGTTGATTAGCAACAGGTCAGTAACATGATTGGGTATAAAAAAAGCATCTCAGAGAGTCTTTCAAAAGTAAAGATGAGGAGGGGTTCACCACTCTGTGAAAGACTGCACAGACAAATAGTGTAAGAATTCAATAATAACATTTCTCAATGTAAAATAGCAAAAAACTTGATTTCATAATCTATAGTACATAATATCATTAAAAGATTCAGAGAATCTGGAGAAATCTCTGTATGCAAGTGACAAGGCTGAAAATCAGTACTGGCTGGCCATGATCATCTAGTGAAAATCACTGCATGGGCACAGAAACACTTCTGAAAACCACTGTCTAAGAAAACAGTTCATCACTGCATCCACAAATGCAAGTTAAAACTCTAAAATGTAAAGAGGAAACTGTACATAAACAGGATCCAGAAACACTGCCACCTTCTCTGGGCCTGAGTTCATTTAAAATGGACTGAGGTGAAGTGAAAAAGTGTCCTGTGGTCCAACAAATCAAAATTTGAAGTTCTTTTTGGAAATCATGGACACTGTGTCCTCCAAGCTAAAGACCACTCAGCTTGTTATTAGCACACAGTTCAAAAGCCAGTATTCATGATGATAGAGGGGTGCATTAGTGCACATGGTATGGTGACGTGCACATCTGTGAAGGCACTATTAATGCTGAACAATGGTTATATGTTTTGGCAACATATGCTGCCATTCAGATGACGTCTTTTTCAGGGAAGGCTTGGATTATTTCAGCAACACAATGTCAAACCACATTCTGCATGCATTACAGCAGCATAGCTCTATAGTAAAAGAGTCTGAGTTCTAAACTGGCTTGCCTGCAGTCCAGACCACAGTCACCACTGATAACATTTGGAAGATTATGAAATGAAAAATACAACAAAGGAGACCCCGGACTGCTAAACACAGACACACACACATCATCTAAACCGTTTATCCTTCTAGGTCACGGTGGGTGCTGGAGCCTATCCCAGCTGTCATTGAGTGGAAGGCAGGATACACCCTGGACGGATCGTCAGTCCATCGCAGGGCGAACTGCTAAAGAACTGAAATCCAATATTAAACAAGAATGGGAAAACATTTCACTTTTAAAACTACAGCAATTGTTCTCCTCAGTTCCCAAACACTTACAGAGTGTTGTTCAAAGAAGAGATGATGAAACACAGTGGTAAACATGCCCCCATCCTAAATTTTTTGGAACATGTTGTTGGCATCAAATTCAAAATGGGCATATATTTTTCAAAAAACAATAAAATTTCTCAGATTTGATATGTTGTCTTTGTGGTATTTTCCTTTAAAAATATGGTTTACATGATTTGCATGTCAATGCATTCTATTTTCATTTACATTCTGCACAGTGTCCCAACTTTTTTGAAAATGGGGCTGTACATTAAAGTGCCTCTGTACATGACTGTGGGGAGGAGCACTTTTGTGGTGCTTGGAATTCTATATAATTAATTTAAAAATATTTCCAACTTGACGACTCAAGAAGGTGTAATTGTTCAAATAACATATTGTTTTGTTTTAAAATATAAATCATGTTTTTCAAGTGTCATATTTCTGTGAAGGCTAGGGACACAAAAACAGACGTTTCCATAGAATGACTAATTGCTTTCACTGCTGCAAAGCCCTTCTTCCTTATGCACGTATTGTGTGGGAGCAGCCCATTCCTGATCCTGTCAGATCACAGAGGGCGGGATTTACTGCATATATAATAGTTCACACAGGATACTTTCAGCAGGGCTCTGGAAAAGGACGACTGATCTCATACTTGCTGCAGCAAGAAAACTTGACATCCAGCCATGTATGTAGCCTTCTGAAATGACTCCTACTTACACTTTATTATATTATATTATATTATATTATATTATATTGACTGAGTGGTCATTCACATTTACATCTACTTCAAGTCAAATGTAAGGTTTAATGTGCCTAATATCTAGTTGTTTTTGGCATTTCAATGTTCGGTCAAGTTTTTTTCCCAGTTTTTCCAGTTTTCAGAAACCAAAAGTAGTTTAATGTGGTGTAGACTGTCTACATTTTGATATGATATTGATGACCTCAGCAAATCCTAAAAACAAAGTACGATCTGATTTAGAAGCTATTTCATGGAAAAAGAACTATTCAGCCATAGTCTATCAGTAAATATGCACCCAAACTGTGTTGAGTGAAATTAGACAGGAATTTCCTGAAGTGAGTGTGAGCCAGGCATTATCTAGCCTACTGCCTGGCCACAGTAAGTTACTGTACTTCAGCAAATGCTAGTGGCATTTGGATGACTGGCCAAGTGTGTAAATGTTGCAGTTATTAACATTCTCCACAGTAGTTTGGCAGTTACTCCTGAGTGACTTTACCTCTGTAATTCAGTATTTCACACAGAATCAAAGTCTGATGTCTGACAGAAAAAAAAGAAAGTAAAATGCTGCCATGAGGTGGTTAGTATTGTTTTGGCTACATGTGTAGATGTTTGTGTGACTGTATGTACATGCAGAACAATGTACTGTATCATTTATCATCAGGCAAGCAAGGCAGCTTATTAGCCAAATTAGAGACTATTGAGTGCCATAAAATTATTATAAAGACAATGAATTGTTAACTGCGGTAATTATTTTGGTAACAGTCTCTTACACAGGTGGAAAATGAGCTTGTTCCTGTTTGGTTAAGCTCAGGTTTTTAGGTGTTCAGTGGGAAAAAAATCCTTCATTAAAACACGGCTGCCAACTAAGTGAGATTTCATCTGGCCGCACTGGGGGTGGGGGGTTAGTGGGTTGGATGATGTGTGGTTGAGAATTTAGGTGGATTTCCATGTTTTTTGTTTGTTTGTTTGTTTTTGTTTTTTTGTATGTTTCTTAGTGTTGCTACAGTATTACTACTCAATACTGTTGAGAAAAAAATACACTGTTTCCTCTTCTATGTGCTCACCGTGTGTCCTAGTTGCACCATGGTGCTACTCTTTATGCTCAATATACAATTCCATAATTTTAGAGTCATTTAATAAAAACTCTTCCTGCCTGAAACTGAACAAGAAACGTTATTTTAAATATGAAAGAACTCGCTAGAACAAAGTATTTCATCTGAGTAATGATGAACATTGTTAAAGATCTGCACCTCCCCCTTTCTGTGGTATTTTTTTTCACCTCACTTCCACCCATTTTCATCCCTTGCCGTTTTCATCCTTTCCCTTTATCATCCCTCCCCTTCCCTTCCCTTTACCACCACTTCCTTTTATCATCCCTTCCCTTTATCATCCCTCCCCCTTCCGTTTATCATCCCAGTGTGTCTCTCTCTTTCTCTCTCTCTCTCTCTCTCTCTCTCTCTCACACACTCACACACACACACTCACACTTGTCTAAGCGCATTTCGGGGACTACCAGCCCAATGCTGCAATGTGGGGACTCGCATTTCTAAAGGCTTTAGGAGCAAATGAAAGACAGATTCATGTTTCAACTGGCGTTTTAAAGACGGCTGTCACTTCAAAATAAAGAAAATACATTAATAAAGCAACGTGACAATTTCCGGTGTTCAAAGCATGTGGGGACCAGCAGATACACACAATGTAGGTACTTGTGAACAATCTGGGGACAAAATGTTATGAACAGCTGAAATGCACCTATAAGGTATATTTGTAACAAAAGACAACTGATGTAGACACATGAATAACAGGTCTTTTAATTGTTTCTTTTTAAACCATTTTTTTGCCGTTTGTGATACAGTATTTCTGCACAGATAATTAATGACTGCTTTTTAAATCTAAAGCAATCATAAGCAATATTAAATACTTAAGCTGCCAGTCAAAAAATAGTATTTAAAAAATGTTCAAAAAGATGTTTTTTCAAGAGAACTTTGGTAAAGACAGTGGTTCTATATAGAACTATGATTCATGGTAAATGGTTATTCAGACTGTGTTGCATATGGTTCTATAAAAGAACTTAAAAATGGTTCTGTATAGTACAAAAAGGGTTCAAGTGTGTTGATGTCAAGCTTGTAGCAGAACTCTATTTGGTGCTATACAGAACCATTTCAAAATGGTTCATTAATAGAACCATAAACAACACATTCTCCAAACTGAAAAACCATTTCACCATGTGAAGAAACATTTAAGCATGCAGATGTCTCTTTGTGTTTTTACTAAAGAACCCTTGAAGAACCATTTTTTTCAAAGATTGACATCAAATAAACTATACAATGAAATAAAACTTTTTTTCTGTTGGAACTTTATCAATGAACGGAAAAAAACAAAGACTGTGCAGACGACATTTGTTCTGGTTTACATTTTCCTTTTAAGTGCAGTGATTCTGTTCTTTACAAAAAACGTTACAGATAACCAATCTCTGTCTTTCAGTGCAACAGGATCAGCTTTTATACAAGCCTCACTTTCTTTTTTTTCTTGGCACTGTGGAAGTTTTAATGAACCTGTTCAGATGTTTTTCAACTGCTTTCACTTCACCGGTCTCCCGCTTCTTTCTCTTAACCATCTTTACACCTGAATAAATGCAGAACATTATTAGTCAAAACATACAATGTCTTTCAATGTCATAAAAGCTTGCCATCATGTTTATTTATCATACAATACCTTTGGGAACTGATGTGGTACCGGTTGGTTCAGCCAAGGTCTCCTGGGCTTGCTGTGTAGACGGTTCTAAGTCCGGTTCTGCTCCAGGATCTACATAAACCCAAACGAAACACACTCTTTTTGAAAATATTTTAAATAGCTAAGGACATGCCAAAATAATAATAATAATACTATATAAATGCATTTCCTGATGAAAATGCAGAGAAATGATTGCTGAGATAAGTCCTAGGTGAATGCTAGAGTGTTGCTGTGTCATTGATGTGGTCTTGCTATGTGGTTCTTAAGGTGCTGCTAGATGGTTGCAAACTACCACCTATACTGGGCAGCAGGAATATAGGACAATGTTGAAGGTGGATTATCACATAGGTGACAATGGCAATGACATCAGTTCAACTGTGCAGAAGAAGCCAATGGTAAACCACTTTTGTACTCTACCAAGAAAATCACATGGATAGGAACAACAAAATGTTTGGTATTATCTTGCACTCAACTTATTATTGGGGAAGAGCTGAGGTTTCCTCTGAGTACACCTTGCTTGCATGACACAGCTAGGTCAAAGATTTTTGCTTTAGCTGATGAGTGAGAAAAGAGAATTCAAAGCTACAAGTGGAACTTGGAATGTCTGAAGCAGGAATCATGGCAAGCTGGAAAAGAAACACAGTCTACTGCTCAGGTAATGAACAACAAAGAAGAAATTGAGTGGCTTTTATTGTCAACAAGGATGTCAACAAGACCATTATTGGATGCAATTCTGTGAATGACTGATGTCAATCCAATTTCATGCATAACCATTCAACATTCCATTCATCCAGGTTTACTCCCCAACAACAGATGCTAATGAAGAAGAATTGAAAGTTTTATGTTGAAGCTCAGGCTGAAATTAACAGGACCTGCAAATAAGTTACCCTGCTGGTGACTGGAATACCAAAGTCAGAAGTCAGAAGGAGGGAAATACAGTTGTACAATGACATCTTCATTACTAATACCTTCTGGAAGTAACCAAAGCGACATCATGACAAACATGGAAACACAAGGATTGTTTTCTAGAATATATGTACACTCAAATAAATTTCAACCTCGAGTTGGTATACCAAGGAAATTTCAATGGACAGGTCATAACTGATGAAATAAAGATCAATCAACAACATCTTGCCTGGTGTATGCTAGATTATGGAAAAAGCCAAGAAGATCAACATGTACTTTTTTTGACTACAACAAAGTCTTTGACTGTGTTGATCACACAAAATTATGGAAGATGGGAATATAAGAACATCTCATCATTCTACTGAGAAACCTCTACACTGATCAATAAGCTACAGTCAGGACAGAGAACGGACAAACAGAATGGTTCCACGGCAAGCGAGTTAGACAAAGCTACATTGTGTCACCATACCTGTTCAACCTGTATGCTGAACATATAATGAGAGACGCAGGACTAGAGTAAAATGATTGAGGATTCAAAACTGGTGGAAGACATCAATAACCTTCAATATGCAGATGACATGACATTCACAGCAGAAAATCAGGAAGACCTAAAGGCCCTTATAAGAAAGGTTAAAGAACAGAGTGAAAAGATGGAACTTGAGCTCAATATGAAGACCAAGGTTAGGACAATAAGAAAGAGCACTAACTGTATCACTGATGGAGAAGATGTCAAAGAGATGGACAGCTTTTGCCAACTTTAACTGATTAACAACAAAGGATCCAGCAGTCAAAGTTGAACTGGAAAAGACATTCAAATGCAAAAATCTGTCTCTCCACATAAAGATCAGAACTGTCCAGACTGGTCATCTCTGTGGCTCTTTATGAATATGAAAGCTGGTCAGTAAAAAAGGTGGGAAATACTGATGCATTTGAACTGCTGGCAAAGTCTTTTGAGGGAACCTTGGATGCCAAAAGAAACAAAACAATGGGCCCTTGACCAAATCAAGCCTCAACTTTCAAAGTCCAGATAATAAACTGACACTCTCTTTGGGATTTGGGAATATTCTGAGAAGAACCACTGGAAAAGACAATGATGCTTAGAAGAGTTGGGAAGTGGAGGCCAAGCAAGAAGATACAATCCGAGGAACATTGAACGAGGCCATTATAAAGCCTGAAGACCCAAACAGAAGACCAGGATATTCTGGAGAAACACCATCCATATGGTCTCCAGGGGTTGGAAACAATTTGACAGCACTTAACAATAATATTGGGGGCTAATATGTGCTAAGGATCTTACACCAAGCAGT